CGGCGGGGCTTCTCAGAAGCGCTCTGGCCTTCTGGACAATCTCCTGTTCTTCGGGGCAGGCTCCGAAAACTTCTCACAAGGCCGGACGACTTAGGCCTTCTTCTTCTCACTTCCCCCCCGAGCGCGCCGCCGTCGTTTTGGTGTCGAGCGGTTCTGGGCCACTGGCCGCCCGCGCTGGGGTCGCCGCCGCGCTAAGTCGTCGCAGACCTACAGCGCACCGGGGGGGGCACTCGGGGGTCAGGCGCAGGACTCGCGGGGGGGGGGGGCCTGTCTGCTGGCAGGGTTGAGGGGTGGCGACTGGCAGAACTGTGCCGAGGCAAGGGGGTGCAAGCACTTTGCCGTGGCAGGCCGGGGTCGGGGGAGCAGCGCCCTGGGCAGAGGAGACAGTTCTGGGGATAAGAGACAACTTCTACAGCTTCTGGGCCCATGGCAACAACCTTCGCGGTAGCGAACATAGCCGCGTACGCGCTACTGCGTATTCGCCACTAACGCATCATACCCAACACCTGTATGCAACATGAGTGCTACACTAATCAACGGAACACGCAGCAACTCGGGCCACCCCACCCTCCGAGCAACCCAGACGACCTCTCCAACATGGAGGCAGTAAGTGTTCCTGCATGTAATAAAAGGAGCGTCACTCCCAATCAGGGATGTGGCTGGCGGTCACGCGACTGCACATACCCAATTGAGGACGTGGCCGGAGCTGGGGTGAGAGTACCATTCCCCATCAGGCATGTGGCCGTCGCTTAGGCGATTGCACCATTCCCAATCTAGGGGACAAACAATGACACAAACATAAAAACTCGGAGGTCCGCGCGGACCTCCGAGGTTTTATGTTTCTGCCATTGTTTGTTCCCCAACAATGGTGGATGTGTCAACGCTCAGGTACAAGCGCCATTGCCCATCAGGGATCTTGCCATCGTTCGAGCGGCTACACCACATCCAGTCAGGCGTGTGGCCAGCGCCGAGGCGAGGGCAGCATCCCAAATCGGGGATGCGACCACCGCTCGAGCGGCGACAACATCCCAATCAAAGGTGCGGATCGCACTCTGGCGAGAGTGCAGTCCAAATCATGGATGCATCCAACGCTTAGGCGACAACTCCATCCCTCAACACAATGCGGCCAACGCTCAAACGGCAACACCTATCCCAATCGGAATTGCACACGTAGGCCGTGCCGGCTGTCCTCATCCTCCTCCTGATGCTCCTCTTTCAGGTCCTCCTACCCCTGGCTCATGCCGAGCCTTCCCACCGTTACCCCGTCTGGGGCCATGGTAATCTATCCCCGAAGGAATTCCGTAACGCTCATTACGCTTCTAGATATGCGCGTGTCATCCGTGCGCATGGGCCATGCCATTCTTCTCTGCATCGTTCCAAATTCAACGGATGATCCCCATCGCCAATCCTACCTCGTCCTCTTCCTCCTCCGTCTACACTTCCGATATAACAGACGTGAACAAAAAGCGTACAGCAACGCTGTGCAATCCATTTGGGAAAATAATCCCAACGCTGAAAAAGTGCACACATCCGAGCGATGCCAAGACGAACGTCGAGTCGGCTCGAGCATCGCGTGCGGCAGCCCTCACTGGAGGCTGGAGAGGGGGAGGGAAGCACGGAAGGGGGGGGAGGGCTGGAAGGAGGGAAGGACCTTGAGCTTACCGTCGCTCGGACGTAAAAGCCCCGCGCATGTTTCGGTGTCGTGCGTGTTTGTTTGGCTCGATGATCCAGGATGCTCCTCGATGCCTCAATGTTCCAGGATGCTCCTCGTCCGAGCGATGCGCAGGAGAGTGAAAAGAGGACAGGCGGCGGTCTCATCAGGAACACGAGTCTGGATGAGCCAAATGAGTGCATCAAACATCAGCGGCGAGCGATGGGAGGGAAGTGATAAGGAAGAGACCTTCTCGGAGGACGGCGGGGCCTCTCAAAGCCCTGGCGCCTTCTGAGAAGTCTTCTGTGTCTTCGGGAAGACCTCGAACGCTTCTCAAACACGTGGGGGACTTCCAAGCCTTCTGAGGAGGCCCGCCCCTTCTCACTTCCCCCCGGGGCTCGCCGCCGACGATCAGCAGCACGGGCCTGGTGTGCCAAATGGGTGGGCCAAGCAGTTGCTATAGCTCCTCGGGTGCGCACCTGCGGCGCTACCGCACGTGGGAGGACCCCAGCGCTCCACGGCACACCGTGCGGAGGTATTCCTGCGCCCAGGAGCGCCCCGACAAACCTCGTTGGCTGCTGCAAGCAGGCGGGACCGTTTACGGACCCGAAGGACGAGGGATGGAGGGTGAAGGTGCGAACAGATGGATCTAGAAGGGCATGCAGGAACGGACATGTGGAGGCAGGTTTGCGCAAAGTTCTGACTTGGAGGTGTGAACATATTAAAGCACAGATGTACGCAGGACTGGATGAACGGGCGTTATGGCTGCGTCTTGTGTGTGTGTTTGTGTGTATGTGTGTGTGTGTGGGGTGGGAGGGGCACGAGCGCATATATGGATGCAGGGTTGTG